TTTACTTATAATTAAATGTATATTAAATAATAAACTTAAATGTTTTATGACATTGTACCTTCTAGGTGTAGTTAAAAATTTGTTTACGATACTGTCGGTACTTATATACATATTTTATATTAAGACAATAGTATCATTTTTTATTTAATTGTAAGGAAACTACCATACATATTGTAAGACTATATTTATTTTCATTAATTGAAAAATATCTTAATTAATTTACTGTACAAATTTATATCCTATTTCAGAGATGGATATCCGCAATGATTGAGATATAGTATGTTCTTGGATCTCTATGTTTATGAACACCGGTAAAAGGTTGTCTATGTGGATTTGTTTTAGATATTGTTTGTACCTATTATCTATATACATTATATTCGAAATATAATAGTCATAATATATTTATTTTTATTTTTTTTTATTGATCTAAAGACATCGGCGACAACGGCCATTAGTCGTAAACGTTGATTACATTTTTTTTCAAGTATCATATATATATTGTTTAAAATAAATTGTACAATTCATATTTTCTTAAAAAGTCAAGATTTGGAGTGTAGAGTCTGTTTTTGGACCGAGGGCTGCGTCTAGAGTGGTTGGAATGTTCAGTTGAATGAGTGCATCTGTGTATTGAACTATTGACGGAATTCTGTGAGGATATGTTGGACTACATAATATATTGTTAGCTATTATTATTATTGATATTTTAAATTTATGATTTGAATACTTAGTATATACCTAGGTATTTTAATTTATATGTGAGTTTAAATAATAAATTCATGATTTTCTGATAAAATATATGAATATTAAATAATTTTTATCAAACAATTATCCTTATTCTGGTTAAAACAATGAACTAAGATAATAGTCAGGGTCATAACTAATTTTATGTGAAATATAAATATTGTAAATAAAAAAAAAAAATAATAGAAATCACATAACTGTATTTATGATCAAATTTTCTATAAAATAAAGCTAATAAACTTCAGTGAAATAACTCAAAATTGTTAGTATAACTTCGAAATTTGAAGTTTTTCAATCCAGAAAGTCACCTCAGGGATTTATCGACTTTTAAAAACTTTTATCCGTGTCGTATACCTACAGTAATCCTGTGCTCTTTTATATTGAAACTCTAACAAAAACTACTATATTTATTGTTTTATTTTTCATCTCTATCTACACTCACTCTTATTTTTTACCCCCTGGAGTAAGGGAAAACTTATAAAATCGAAATTRGATTACTGTAAGCACTAAGCGGCCACCGATGACAATATAAACCGATCTGTATTTAAAATAGAAAATATATGTTACATCTATCGAAAAACTATTGAATTGATTTCATAATTCAACCATTCATCATTGCCAAAATGTTAAACAGGAAAAATAAAAACATTTATTTGTCATCCAATGATAAAGTATGTTAAAAAATACTTGTTGCAGTACAAGGAGTAATGGTAAAAACATTAGTAGGTATATCTTTAAAAGTTATAAGAGAATAATTTTTAAAATGATTAGGGACTTCTTTTTCTTTAATTATCTTCAATCCAACAGTTTCGAAAATAATATTATTTTTTTTTTTTAATTTCTATGAAAACTATACTCGTTAACCGGCGAATAAAGTTTGTTGGTTCATATAGTACACACCTCGCATTAGTTATATTTTGAGATGATTATTTAAATATGTAATTATAATACGATGTTTAGTTGAGGAACCTTATGCCTAAAGAAATTAAAATTTTATTTCTTACTTGTTAGATTTTAATTCGAAGCTTAATAATGAATTTGCTATGTTACCACTTACCGATTTAAAGACAAACAACTTGATACTTTATTTCGAAGAATTAAATGTTTGTACATTTTGTGTATTGGAAATTTTTGGAATAGTCGATATCTATACATATTATATAATATTTATAATAATAATATTTTATGGGAATGTGTATTCAAATAAATATCAAAGTAAATTAAACTGGGATTATAGTTATAATTTATATTATACTAATTAAATAAAGTTGACTAAATCTGAATGTATTTTAAAGAGGAAATATTACTAATAGAATATTAATATTAAAAAATGTAAACCTTTGTTCTTCATATCATTTTGTCATTTTAATTTAATTGCCTCGAATTCGAAACCAAGATGATATTCATTGTGCCTATAATAAATTACGTTCTTAAAATGTTATTTAAATAAACATCTAGATGAGATTTTTACTTTACTTAAAGCAGTTCCAACCAGATTTTAAGCAGCACTGACAAGGAATAACGAGATGGTATGCATTATAAATATACATACCTATTTAAAAACAACAATATGAAATAAAATAAATACACTTCAAATATTTATTTGATATACATTTTACTGTGAGTAATATTTAAATAAATATTTGAACGTGATTTACTTTACACATAATTTGGCTATTAAGTATAAATAAATTAGTTGCTAATTTTTAGATACATAATATCAATATCTACTGTCTTATAATATAAAACATAAATTATAGATTTCCATCTTGTTAAAAGAAATGACACATTTTGTATCAATATGAGTTTATTAAATTTTGTTTAAAACATAAATAGGTACCAGAAATAAATCTTAACTGATGTGTTTTTTTTTTAAATTTTATATTAAGTATTTAATAATGTATGAATAATTAATTAAATTGTATGGATATTGTTTACAATAATACTGTTCTCTAAACTATGATTAAAACAAAACTATATGTTTATGTTTAAAAAAAAAATTATAAAAAAAAAATATATATATAGTTAGTAGTTACAACTTACAACTCGATCGTGCGGAATATGGATAATAAGTTTATTAAACAGTTTTGATAAAATAACAAGATAACATACAATTTCACATAATTTTAATGAAGGAGCCAAAATAATATTGGATAACAATTTTTACCGTTTTCACGACGTATTTAGTAAAAACAATGTTGATGTTAATGTTATTAATGTTAATTTCAGGTTAAACGTTATGCACATCGCTACTGCTGATCCACGTACTAAAATCAAACATATAAAACGAGATTATAATTAGATAAACAACTTCAATTTTTTTTATTCAATTATAAATAATTTTTTAGTTTTTGACCACAATTTTAGAGATGCAAATAACATTTTAATACCCATTATTAGTTTTACTTACAAGTCTCTTAAAATCTCTAATGTTATTCGCGCTTATGGTTATATTTTATGGTTTTAGAAATATTTTATTCATTTCAAGTTTGACATACTACAAGAGAAATCAGTATAAAATCCCATTTTGAATTAATTTATAAAACTACGTTAATGGTAGTAAAGTATATACGTTACAAAAATGAAATAAAATAAAGAAAGTACTATGTAAAACGCTTAACACTTAGGTTAGGTTTGTAATATTTCGTAATTTTTAAAAGCTTCTTTTATTTTTTTACACCATTACTTTACTTTTCACATTATTTTGTAAAGTAAAATTAGAGAATTTATTAATGTTAGCGAAAGCTGAAAGTACATTTATCTGTACAAAATTAAATTAAAATTTATGCATGCAATTTGACATTAATAATTATTAAATAAAACAAGTACAAAAAGAACAAAGAAAGGGTAATAGGTATATAAAAACATGCAAATATAAATAATTTGCATGTTTTTTTTTTAGGGGTTCAAACTATTATTATTGGAATGCGTTGTCGTCTTCTCGTATTATATACAATTATTTTTACTGAAAAACCCTTAGGTGAGTAAAATACACGATATTAGTTTTATTCGTAATAATGTAATACGTATGTACTATGAATAAAGGTTCATTGGAAGAGAATATCTAAAGAAATATTGGTARTTTTAGTTGAATAAAATGTCAAAATTCTAGATTTTTTTTAAATTTTTATTAGACAGAAGCAATCTATACAATATTAGCACAATAATCAGATCATTTGATAAGAGTATAGAAAAAAAAGATAATAACATAAAAGGTGTGATTAAGCAACTACCATATAAAAACCTAGATAATTTTTTATCTTGGTGTAACATATAATTTGTAATTAATTTCGTACAATATAATACACGTACGTAAATAATCTACCTATACAAATAAAAAAATTAAAAAAATTATTGCCCTACTATCCTGTGCATGTTAGGTATCAAGGCATGTTACCTATCTTAGGCTATAATATTTTGTTGTTTTATTTATTTGCAGCTTGCTAATTATGTAAATATATTTTTTATTAGATAACAGTTATACTTCATTCATTTATTTTCTGTACAAAAAACAATCGTTTTTTTGTCGAAATATAATCTTATTATTTTCAATAATATAATATAAGTAAGTAACCACTGATGTTTAATAATGCAATTTAGGTACTATGTAGTATATTGTATATTTTAATAGAAAATTATAAGTCGAATAAACTAACCAGCTTTCGTTTAAAAATATAATAAATAATAGTAAAAAATATTTTTTTCATTTTTGGTATAGACAAAAACAATTTCATCTTTTCGTTATAATTGCCAATTTCATATTTTGTATATGTGTGGTTTGAATCAACCAAAAATTACTTTCTTCCGACAGAGCTTAACTTCAGTCTTAATTTCATTTCAATTCTTCATTTTGGGAAATAAAAATTTCTGAACTTCCATGATTTAATGGTTTTACTTTTTACTATAATACCTATCTATATAGTTGTATTCAAATAATTATTTATAAATTGTTCATATAATAATTAAATATTTTTTAATTGCATTTTCATTGAATCATTAATAATACATTTTATTTGTATGAATAGGTATAAATTATCTTAAATGTAGTTACATTTCGAGTCAGCGCACTATTTATTTTTTATAATTGAAGTTTGCATAACCCTCTCCCACAAACATAAATAGGTAGACTTTTTATTTATAGTGCATATTATTAATAATAACTTCTAGCCTGTAAGTTTTCATAATATTTTATAAAATATTTAAGTTAAAATTTAGAAGTTAAATGTAGATAGGGTATTAGATAAAATAAAAAATATCACGAAAAAAATAATAGTACAGATGAATACATGTTTTGTGTAAACATTGACCATGGTCATTTTTTTATTGTATAGACTCTAGACGACTGGCCAAAATAGAATATTATGATTTTTAACAAATTAGAACAGATAAACTAAAATTTACACATTTTATTTCTTTTACAGAAGTTTTGTATTAGTGTTGATAAGATAACATCATACTTGAATATTCAAATGGATATTATCCATTCTCAAACTTCTTTTTAATCATTCATTTGAATTTGGATTTTACAGTTTCTTTGTTTTTCATCTATAGGTATTCATTAAAAAAAAAAGACAGAAATAAGAAAAATCGTGTTTATTTTAATTTATTATTCTTAGCCAAGTGTTTTATTTAATTTTAAATTAATTTTTGTTATTCGTAGTTAGAATAAATTGCATTAACGTTACTTTTATAATTAACAGAATTAAGATCCAATATAATAATAGTTTTTTGTTTATTTATAGCAAATTTTTGCTATTGAGTTATTTTTTTAAATGCACATGTTATTTTACTCAATTCGACATAGGGAATTCATTATTTAATCCCTAATTAATTCACTCCCACTAAAAATTGATTTTGAGGAAATTAGGCCAAATTTGATTAATATAGTTTGAAATTGAAAAAAAATTTCTTTTGAATGTTTTCATTGAAGTTTTATAAAAACATTACTGTCATACATCATACATTCATGTGGTAGGTATGTATTAACTGTAGACACATTCTATTTTATAACTGATGTCTGATATAATAGTTATGTGGCTACAATGAGTAGCTGTCATATCCATACAAATCTAATAGGTGAAATATACCTTTAGGTTGATTGTCAATATATCAATGTATGCATAATATCATTTATATTGGTAATAGTCGTATAGATATTCAATATAGGTATACTCTAAATAGCCAAGTAAAACTTGTAATGTAATTAATATTTGATAATGTCAATAAACGATGGCGGCGCCGCGGAAGCAATGCGAAAGCAGATCCCGCGGCGTCGTCGGTTAAAACAGAAAAAAAAAAAAAAAAAAAAGGTATACTCTAAATAGATACCTACATTATATTCAGAATATCTATAGAAACGTGAATGATAATTTTAGATCAAATTAAAAGAAGTAATAAACTCAAATTTTAAAACTTTGTTATCACATTACAACACGAACACGGCAAGAAAATACGAAATTTTTAGCAAAAATAAAAAGAATGAAAACTGTCAGCTCATCAGTTATTCTCATCTGTTAGAATTTATATAAATTAAAATCTTTTAATTTTGGTATGATGGTTTATTATGTACATTAATACATTATACTATAATTTTAGCTCTGATATCCTTTAATCTTGTATTAATTATTTATGTATTTAATGCAAACAATCCTAAGAATTTTATATTGAAAATATGTTCACATTTATAAAATTAATAAAGATCATTAACATTAATTGACTATAGAAATCACTCAGGTATTTTAATTTAAGTTATGAAATACACGGTGTTTAAATGGAATCAGATAATTAATATTTGCACTTACCTAAAATTATTGCTTCACGTTTATATTCCTTAGGAGGTGGTAATGCTTTTGGACGTCCTATATTGATTATGGCTTGACATGTAACTTTCATTAAGCCATTGTTGAAGTGATCAGGAGATATTGACAAATTCAATTTGGATATGCTGATGTACAAACCGTTGGGTAGTTTTTCTGAGCGGTCGTAATTTGAAATCACCTAACCAAAAAATGTATCATTTACGTTAATAATAATCAAGTATCATCTCCATATCATGTTTATAACAATAATTTATAATAATTATTAACCACACTTGAGTAAAGTAGTTATTTAACTAATTAGATATAATAAATACCTATACTTCTATTGCTAATTTTTGACTTACACAAATGTATTGGTAATTTAATTCAATTAATTTCAATATTTTATATTACTAATTTGCCGATAAATCAGTATAGTAATTACTATCACTAACATTATTTTCTTATGTATTTGATTATTTGATGTTTTAATTTTGAATGAGTAATTATGATATAATTCCTTTTATAAGAGAATACTTTGGAAAAAATCTTATCTTGATATTAACCAATTATTTTAAATTATATTGTATATTGAGAAGTATAATAATTGAATTTAAAATGTGGGAACAAAACTCACTCGAGATGATTAGTTTCTGGATCTATATTTTAAAAATATTTTTTTTCCAACTAATCAGTACAACTAATTAGAATTACAAATATTATATTTAATACGCTAGAATTTAAAGTCACGAGACATTTTTATTATAAAAACTTCAATGTAAATTATTTTTAAAGGTTTTAAAATTCAAAACGAAATTGTACACTTTTGTAAAAAACTTTTCCCCATAAATATTAGTTTGAATACAACTCATTAATTAAGTGTTGAATAATTAGTTACATTATTGTAGGATTTTACAGTATTTACCTACACAGAATATTACAGAGCTATAGTATTACATACATTTAGCTCTATTGATATTTCTTATTTTGATTTATAATATTATTAAGTGTCAAAACAAATTGAACTTACCATTTTGTCATTAATAAACCACCGGAGTCTTGCAGCGGGAAATGATTCTCCCGATGTACAATTTAAATAAATAGTGTCACTAGTTTGATAGACTCCTGAGCCTCCATTGATTTTTGTTACATCTTTTGATTTTGGTAAACCTAAAAGAAAATTTAAAATAATTTAATATTTTTTTATGAATTTAATATAGACAATGAAAGGTGAGTGATTTTTTTTAAAATTATATAAACGCCTCAACAGCTAAGGTTATTGGMGTTTCTGAACTTTTTTTAACGTTTTACAGTAAAATTTTTTTTAATTAGTCTGTCAAACATTTGATTATTATTAAGTATCCATTAAAACAAAAATTAGTACATTCAGTTTTAGTTAATTTAATAAATTATATTTGAATACATTAGATAATTTTATAAAATGATTGACGTAGAATATTACATTATGGATAAGTTTTTTCAATAATATATAATATTTAATTATTGATATTAATTAATATTTAATTTAAATGGATGTGAAGACAAAAGAGTTTTCAAATTTTAAAAATTATTGTTTTTAAATAATATATTGGAGATATTAATTTAATGAATCTATTTAAAATTATTTTTATATTTCTTTTTTACTTTCCATCTAAAAAACATGACGATGCGTAGATTTATCAAAATAAATAAACATAAATAGATGAATATTTAATGAAATATATATGTTATACTATACTTGTAAATTAATTAATTTTACTTTAGAAGAAACAAAAATGATGCTTTGAATATCATCGAAGGTACGGAGAAACTTAGTGAGATCTACTATAAATTAACTAATTTGATTTAAATTATTATGCCTTAATTCAGAAAATAATATTGCTATAGCCGTTCAACAGTTGTCCAACTATGTTTTGTTTAGTAACATATTATGAGGCGTACCTACCACCAAACGCTAACACAGTGGTGCCCAACCCGCGAAGGTATTCTGTGTGGCCCGTCACAAATTTTTAAATAAAAAAAAAAATATTCTAAAAAAAGTAAAATCATATTTATTTATTTGTATTGTAAGTCTGGTCGTAAGTAATGTATCGTAATGTCGTTTGATATTAGATTCTTTAAAACCTGAAACCGTTTCAACAAGACAAACAGCTTTTCCATTAATTTCAACAAAAAAGTAATTTATTGACCATTTCTCATTAAAAATTCGGAAATCGTCATTATATTTACGCTTTTTCTGTCGGACATTTTTAAATAAAAATTTTACGATCGCTATTACCTATGCACTTAGAAGAGCAGTCTGATCGTTGTATGTATCTACAATGTATACCTCAATCCATAAACTTTTCAATAATCAATAAAAGATAAGATATACGCCATATGTATTGTACACATATGTATAACAAAATTATATTATTAGATTAAGATTGAGATTATTCGTACTTTTATATTTAATGGCCCGCTCGAAGATGATTATTAACCTCTTGATGCACATTTTTTTCCACCTCATATCTATTACCACAATACCTGTATGGAATTTATCTATTTTTCCAGATCAACCAATTTAAAAAAAATGACAAAATCGCAATAATATTGGATTTTAAATACACATTATAATATATTTTTTTGCCAATCGTTCTATTACTAAAGCTTGTCTTCTTCGGTTGTTACTGGATCATCAGGATAAATCGTTTTAGAATCATCGCGTGAAAATATCTTAACAGGTTTCTCCATTGGCTGTTAGGACTATTGTCTATATAATACTTTATACCTATGATATTATAATATACAGATGGAGAATAAAAAGTTGTGCCATATATTAAATTAAATTATTGTTATGCTATCAGTGCGGCAACTAGGGATTTAGGGGTCTAAGTGTAGGCCAATGTTGAGGCCCTTGTTTTCTATAGAAACATTTTTCTTACCTAATCATATGAAAAAAATCATTAATAAAACAATATTTTTTAAATTATTTTGAAGATAATATAATAATAACACAATAAATATAAAAGTAATAAATAAATCATAAAGATATAGAATCAAAGTTAGTTAAGACAATTATTATTCACTAGGTATACAAAATAAAATTGTATTGTTTGAGAAAATGATATTTTTCCTTATTTTAATATTAGCAAAATTAAAAATAATTTTTTTGACATCTTATTCCTGTTTTTATTTTTTTTTTGATGCCGATTATTGCGATATAGATAATCGGTTTTGGCTGGTAGAATCCTTTAAATATTTTTTTACTAGTTTCAGTTTGGAAAGAACCGTTTGGCAGATGCGACAGATGACAGTAATTGCTAAACTCAAAATAATAATACAGACACTCATTATATCACTATAATATTCTGATGAAAGATCATTTTCCGAAAAATTTTTAATAAAGTTCATCTTTCATTGTATTCATTTTTGTAGTTTTCAAACCCTCTTTAAGAGGACGTAATAACCGCTTGTGTTTTCTCAGTCTTACAAGTGCGTAACATACCAAATTTTAAGCTCAKAAGATTACGTTTAGCTCCATTAGCTTAAAAATTTGAGTGAATTGACCTCTTATGAAATTTAAAGGTAATAATATTATTTAAATGATCTCGTGGACTTTTTCTATATTTTAATTTTGAAGCGAATTATAAGTATTTTTAAACTGTAAATTGTTTGTACATCTTAAAATACCCATAACTCGCTTTAAAATTAAAATATAAAAAAACCCATGAGGTCATTTAAATAATATTCTTATCTTTAAATTTTATAAGAGGTGATTTCACTCTAATTTTTAAGTTAACGGAGCGAAACCTGATCTGAGTATAAAATTAGGTATGTTACGAACACAACACATGTAGGTATCACGTGCTCTTAAGTGATAGCAGTTGACGAGTAAAATTGGAACTAATTTAATTTTGATAAAACCTAATAAATAGGGTTCAGATTTGAAGGCAACATAATAAAAAAAAAGCATTTAAAATGTAAAAAAGGCAAAAAATGCATTGAATTTATATAAAAAAAGCAATTCAAAAATATTCTAAAAAATAAATACAGTAACTACAGATGATATTAAAAAAAAAATTCAACTTAGAATTGTCATTTTGTTTAACTTTCGGCATAATTTAAAAAAAGAAAACAGAATAAAATAAATACGTGGAAAAATTATTAAAAGACAATTGCGGTCGACGAATGTGAACTGACGAAACTGTCTTGAATCTACGCATTATGAACATATTTTAATCTTTAAATAGCTAGTAAGGGTACTTTTATGGCCATATCAAATACTAGATAAGATGGTAACGGATAGATCATTATAGAAACATAACATCGACAATGCACCGTCTTCACAAGCTGATATCGATTTGTACCAATAATATGTAAGCTGTGTATAAAATTATTAAAAAAACTGAATATTAAACATAAAAAAGGCATTTATAAGTACAAAAAGTAAAAAAAAGCAAAAAGGCATTTATAAGTAAAAAAGGCAAAAAAATACATTCATCGTCTTAGAAATTAAATGAAACACATTTTGGTATAAAAATTATTTTTCTATTATGATTTTTAAAAGAAAGGCTTTTGCCTTCAAATCCGAACCCTACTAATAAAGTTATATTCGGATTTTATTAACATTGATTTTTCAGTTTCTTTATTGATTGAAAGTCTAAGCAATTCAAAATTGTCGTTTATTGTCTTCAAACCTTACTCGTAAACTGTACCAATAAAGTGTTAAAATAAATGGCAAAAGTATACCCATCAGTACCTAATTTTTTTTTACTAATTAGTACACCGGTTTCACTTAATTGTTTTTTAGCAAGTATATGACGGTGGATTTTCGATGAAGTTATTATATTTTTCACTTAGATCGGAAGAAGTCACTATATCATTAATTTCATTATATTTGGTTCTTAAATTTGTAATAGATTCGACATATAATTTTGTTATAGGTCATGCTATGTTGTCACTTAAATGTTAAAGAAATCCTCCTTCATACACTTCTACTTTAAAAATTAAATATTTACTTGAATCGTGTCAAAAAAATTACTTGATCTTAGTTGTACCTACTATTTTAGAAATAGGGTATTGCAGTCTATCGTAAAAGACCACATTTTAAAATATTGTACTTCTAGATTTATTTATAGAAATCTTAGAATAATACCAAATTCATATGTATTAATAATACAACATAGTATCAAAGTTTTAAGGGTCCTCTTTTAACAATGAGGCTTATTTTGGAGAAARGTGAATAATAGCTCCTCAGTATCTTTGCCATAGTTGCGGCACACAGTGGGAGGAATTGCATTTCTAGCTGGCCAATAATTTAGCACCTATCAAACGAAGATCAACACTCATAAATAAATATTTATTTATATTTTTTTAATTTAGCTCATTAATTAATAATAATTAAATAATGTGATATATATAATATTTACCATTATCATATCAGTGGTAGCAAATATTCTTGGTGGTAATCATTAATTACTATACCTAAATTTTCTATTTTTGGCCAGTTTGAAATGCAATTCTACCCATTGTGTGGAATTTGTTACTATGTATTTATAATATGTGTTGTTATAATAAAATAACTATATTTTTTATGAAAGTGAACAATTATATTTTTAAGCTATTTAAAAAAAAAACAACAACATTAAAAGGCCTCGCTACTGTTTTATATTTGTTAGAAGATTTTTAATTATGTGACTACTATAGTACTACAACAACTTAAGTATTTTAATTTTAAGATTTAGATGATGTTTTTGAACCACTGACCTACGTGGTTTTAAGTAGATAATATAATAGCAATTAAGAGCTAAATACATATTTAATAAATAATGAACTGGTAAAATATTTATATAATTTTACCGTAATATTTTTGAAAATGGTTCATAGTTCATCCTCATTTGTTATTTTAATATTACATACGTTTAGTTGCGTATTAATATAACATAATAGAAATTTATACATACTTCATTGGTATTACAGTAAATAACAGAGGGTTTTCATATTTATCTGTTGTCAAATGTTCAGATTAGAAATTTAGAATGCTGAATAATATTATTAATAAGATGGTTTTTTTTTTTTGATATTTTAATTTAGAACGCTCTGTAGGTGTAGGCATCATAAGAACGGGACCGGGTATAATAATATTGTGATCAACAGTTTCCATCCCTTCCTGTTTTTTTCGAACGAGG